CACCCCACCCTTGGCCCTAGAAAGGCACTACCTGAGAATACAGACTTCAGAACTCAAGCAATGAAGATCCCCCAGAATGACTGGTCTCAGACTACAAATTGATACATCAAGGCATTGATGGAGATGATAAATAAAAATCATAAAAGGCAAGAAGAAAAAATGAAAGAGTTGATAACAGAGATGATGGCATTAAAGAGCACAATGAATGAAATAAATAGCAAACTGACAAGCATGGAAAGCAGAATTAACCAAGAAGAAGAAAGAATCTCAGAGCTTGAAGACTGAAATATGGAACTAACCCAAATGGTTAAAAACATAAAAAGGAAGCATAAAAAGACAGAAAGAAGCCTTCAAGAGATGTGTGATTATATGAGGATGCTGAACTTATGCTTCATCCGCATTACTGAGGCAGAAAGAGAGATAGAGAACACCTTTGAACAAACATTCCATGAGGTTATCCAAGAAAGAGAGCAGGGAGACAGCCCACAGAATGGGAAAAAATATTTGCCAACTGTATATATGACAAAAGCCTCACATTCAGGATCTACAGGTAACTCAAATGTGCTGAAAGGAAAAAAAAAAACACAGCCCCATCAAAAAGTGGGCCAAATACATGAATAGACACTTCTTAAAAGACATATGAGCAGTCAACAGACACATGAAAAAATGCACAGCCTTAGTACTCTTCAGAGAAATGCAAATCAATAAGGGTACTTGATATAAATCCAGGTGAAGTGAGGGTCAATGGAAGGCCCAAACTTCACCTGTACTTAGACCACTTATGTACCCAATCTTGACTTGCACCCCACATCCTTTAAAAAAAATTTTTTTTAATTTTTTAATAAACGTATTGTCTCAGTAGTTCTGGAGGCAAGGGTCTGAAATCAAGGTGTCACAGGACCACATTCTCTCCAAAGCCTCTAACAGAGACTCTTCACTTGCCTCATCCAGTTTCTAGTAGTTACAGGGATTTCTTGGCTTGTGGCTACATAACTCGATTCTTTGCTTCTGTTTTTGCATGGCATTCTTTTCTGTTTCTTAAAAGGATGCTTGTAATAAGATTTAGGACCCATCTGTTTTATCCAGGGTGATCTTATCTTGAGATCTTTGATTATATATGAAAGCATCACTTTTCCAAATAAGATTCAATTCATAGGTACCAAGGGTTAAATTTTGGGCATATCTTTTCAGAGGATGCCCTGAAACTTTACCAAAGTCATTTATCAGAGCAAGAAGGTTTTTGACCAACGCCCTAGTGTTTTCAAAATATAGGATCATATGGTCCACAAAGACAGATGGCTTAACGTCCTCTCCTTTTATTTGGATACCCCTGATTTCCTTCTCTTGCCTGACTGTTCTATCAAAGACATCCAGTACTATGTTGAACTGGAGGGGTAAGAGTGGGTAACCTTGTCTTGTTCCCATTTTCAGGAGGAATGCTTCTAACTTCTGTCCATTGAGCAATATTTAGGCTGTGGGTTTATCATAGATGACTCTTACTGTGTTGAGGAATGTTCTTTCTATGCCTACGTATTTAAGAGTTTTT